AGAGTGTTTTCTCTGCCACTTAACAATCTCAAATTTTTCCTTTCTCTGTCCTTTAAAGTTTGCCCAAGAAACTAGAGTGCATAAAAACATCGATTTGCAACTGCCTTCTTCGTGGCTCAGATAGCAAAACTTCAAAGCATCATCCGAGACTAAGAAGATCACAGAATAAGATTTTACTGAGACAGAGAAAACCACAGAGAAAGTTGCAGCCGGTGCTTTTAAAGGAAACTCAGCAATCCCCTCAAGGGACTCAGAGTTCTACAGATATCAGTAAACGGAGACTCTCATACCGTGCAGTTCATAAAACTAATGTCTACGCTAACAGTAAGCAACTCTTGAGTAGCAGAGCTTCAAATCCTGTCATACAAACTAAGGAGAAACAAAATCATGAAAATCTTACAGGAAGCAATGAAAATGAAAGGGATTCATGGACAATGATGCAAATAACTAAACATAGTACATCAGGAAACATTAAGGAGACAGATGACATTGATGATATTTTTGCTTTAATGGGAGTTTAGATACTCATCTGTGAGACTTTTAAGTGATTAGCAAGCTAGTCCAGTGTTCTGCTGTTTTAAGTGGAACTCCTGAAATCTGGAAAGATCTGAAAGCACCACTTGGGACTCAAGAGATTTACTGCAACATGGATTAGCAGTTCATTTCAGTTCAGTAAACATTTATAGCTTTGTGTCATTTCATTGTCAGATGTTAGACTATTAAATAGTCCAATTTGCTAGGTGTTAGGATGAAAAATCTATATCCTGCCCTTGAAAAGCAGCTATCCTGACTGAATCTGGTAGGTCCCTGAAAAATAGTAATTTTATAACTTACCTGGGAATAAAGACCCGAATACTTAGGTTTGCAAAAACCTACTCTGAGCCTTATGAAAAATGGGGAGTGGAGGTGGGGAGTAGCAAGGAAGCACCTGAAAGACCACTTTGGCTTACTGGCCCCATTACAGATAAGTCCACTTCTGAACATCAAGGTTTGTAGCTTCTATGGTAGTGCTGTCTTGTTGATACATTAAAATTGATCATTAAAGTAACTCAAAAGTTTTGCCAACAATTGTATTACTAGGGACAGGCACAACCATTATTTCACTTTATTTGTTCACCTTTTCTCATAGAAGAGGATATTAAAATGCTTTTGGAATTTTCAAGTTTGTGGGATTATTTTGTTTTATTTATGGGGTGTGTGTGTGTCTGATTCTGGAAAGGATATACTGTAACGTGACCCAGGGTTATACATGAAATACAACAGGATAAAACCAAGTAAAAGTAGGTGAGAAAGGTAAATGAGAAGATAGAATTAGGAGACACAAAATAGACCCGGATATGAGGCTAACCATGTATTTATAATTTGGGACTGTTGCTGTCACCGACATTTGTATGTTGCTTGTTCAATTGTTCCAAAAGGGTAAATCTTACGTATTTTCAAGCAATGGTGTGAAGTTTGAGGTAATTTTTCAAATGTTCTAGCTTATTAGAAAGGTTAATAAGCTTCTCTTTGTTAAGTAGGTTGTTGCTTTAAGTTTTATGTTATACAGACATAAAAATGAAACAGTGCTTTCGTATATACTGCATCCTTTTCCTCAGCCATCCTGTCATTTTCTTCTCTTTCCTTTCCTTTCTTTATCTGGCCTTCCTCGTTCTCTTTGTGCTTCTGCCCATTTCCCCTTATCTGTACTAATGGTTTTCAAACTTTAGGCTGTTTGAGAATCACCTAGTGGGTGGTTTAAAAGCGCTGATTCCTAGTCCTTTCTGAAGAGATAAACACAGCCACAAAATAAAGCCAGAAGTTTGCAATTTTAACAAGGAGCCCGAAATGCAGTCAGATGAATATTGGTTTAGATTCCTTTCCCAAAAGTTGAACACCCTGATTTAATGCACAGTTCTTAATCAATCTTGAGTGACTTTTCAGTTTCTATTTCTCCTAGCTTCCTACCAAGTGTTAGTAGCTACTCATGGCCTTAAAACATGGACAATAGCAAGATCTCATTCATGACAAGTCTAGAAATAGCCATCAGTTTCTAAGATTCGAAGACTTATGGGCCAGTCTTGCTTCTGCTTTTATTTGCTCATGACCACTGAGCTCATGACCAGTTTCCTTGGGCTTAGGTTTCTTCATCTGAAGTAGCATTATTGTTCAAGAATCATTTACAGTTGAAAGAGACTGATTATCCCTCATTGGAAAAACCAGAGTCAGTGAGTTGTCTAAGAAGGTAAAACTATAAAGACCTGAATAGACTATGAACCTAGCACTCTTTTTCCATATTACTAATGTTCCTTGGAGCAAGTTTCATCTCCTCCTTTTCTTATCTTGTGCCCCTTACAATTCTGAGAAAAATAGTAAAAGGCTTCATATGATAAAAGGTTCAAGTCTACAAAATGATAATTTATATATATTTATAAGGAATGTAGTATTCTATATCAGTTAATTTTCCAAACAAATTCAAATGTTTAACATTTTTAAAAGTAAAATCTAAAATAAAACCATAACTTACCTAGTAAATTACATTAGAAACTACTGTAGTGCCATAGTGAATACCAATTTAACCACTTCTGGTGGCATTAGAACAGTCAAGTCATTTATAAGGATGGTGAGACTTCAAATCCTCTTGACCTTCTTCAGCTGCTGCCATGATAAACAATGTGGAGTAGGACTAGACAACTGTACCTTGCCTCCTACTCCAGGGACCTCTCCCTTCCTCTTGACTTCTGACAAGCTGCAGAAACTGCTTGGCCTTTGTTATATAACTCAGAAGAGGTGTGGGTCACCCTCCCTCCTTCAAAAACAATTCAGAGGCATCTACACTAATAAAAGACAAAGATGCTAATTGACTGTACCTTTGCTACACCCACCAGCCAATCAGAGCGACTATATGCAAATTAACCCAACCAAGATGGCGGTTAATTTACATATACCAGCTGGGAGTGAAGACTGAAGACAACGTGGAAGCAAAGCGCTACAGAAGGGAGCAAAGTAGAGGCAGTGGAGACAGGAACAGAGCCAAGGTGGCAGAGGCGGGAGGGAAACCAGCCGGGCGGCGGAGCGGGAGGGAAAACAAACAGCCGGGCGGCGGAGTGGAGCGGGAGCGAAGCCCGCCTCAGCAGGTTTTGCTCCCTTCTCTGCTTCACTCCAGCTGCAGGAAGCCCTGTTCTTGCAGGAATCTTCCTGCAACAGGCCTCTAGTATTTCATAAGGCTCCTCAGAAAGTCAAGATCAAGCACTAGTGCTTATGTGGTATCCAACTCAATCCATCCTTGATTAGCTTTCCTTCCTTCTGTTTCATTTCTCCATTACCCCTGTTCCCTGGGATCCCTTCCTAAATAAACTGCATGCAAATCTGGGGCTATGCTTTGAGGAGAACCAAAGCTAAGACAAGCAGTAAAGTAACATGCAGATAGAAAGATGGTTCTATTGTCACCATATAATTTACTTTGCAAATGCCTATATAATAAAGTCCCGCTCTCCCTCCCCATTTAAAAAAAAACTCTGCTGGTTAGGACAGACCAGAGCTATCAACTATAAAACCTACAATCAGAATTGAACTTTCTAAAAAAGCCACAAAATTGTTTTACAGCCTTTTTTATCCCACGCTATTGCTATAACCTCCTAATATTCACCCTCACTTTGAAAAGCTAAGCCACTTACATGAATAGGTGAGTAGCATCTTAATAAAAATCTTTTCCATTAACTTTAGTTCAAAGTAAGGCTTTATCTTTCCATTCTGAATCTTAATATGTTTCTAAAAAGTCCTATTGACTTTGTTCTCACTCTTTGCAATCAGTTTTCTCAGTTAAACATGTGTTTTTTTGTCTTTCACTAGAGAAAGTGTTACTTACTCCATGAGAAGATATTATCTGTGATGAATAGAACTGTATATTTTGCTGTATTCTTGGGTTGGTTTCCCTTTACAAACATGCAGAATATGCAGATGTCCTTTTCCTATATAATAAATGCCACTTTAATCTTCATAGCTTGTGAGGTTCAAGTTATAAATGAAGATCAGAGAAATGAAGTAATTAGCTCAAGGTCCAATGTGTAAAAAATAACAGAACTAGAACTTGAATTCTAGTCTTCTGATTCTGAATCCCATGTTCACCTGAAGGTGACTGATCCCAGCCTCAGTTTATTGGTTGTTTCTACCTTGGACCCACTGAAATTTTATCAATAATTTTTTGTTTTTTTAAATATTCAAATAAGGACTCAGAAAAACATAAATTATAGGCATACATAGGATCATTTATCTTTACCCTACCTATCAGGGTTTAATAGAAAAGAACTCCTTTTTTACCTATTCCATTTTAATATTTAAAAAATATATATCTTATATAATAAAAGGCTAATATGCAAATCGACCGAATACCGGAACAACTGGTCGCCATGACATGCACTGACCACCAAGGGGGCAGACGCTCAATGCAGGAGCTCCCCTCTGGTGGTCAGTGCGCTCCCACGGGGGGAGCGCCACTCACCCAGAAGCTGGACTCATGGCTGGTGAGCGCAGTGGTGGTGGCGGGAGCCTCTCCAGCCTCTGCGGCAGCGCTAAGGATGTCTGACTGCCGGCTGAGGCCTGCTTCCTGTGGGACATCCCCCGAGGGTTCTCGGACTGCAAGAGGGAGCATGCCAGGCTGAGGAACCCCCCCGCCCCAAGTGAACAAATTTTGTGCACTGGGCCTCTAGTGTGTGTGTATTACATCCTAATATGTTATATATACATAACCCTAATATGCAAATAGACCGAATGGTGGAACAACTGGTCACTATGATGTGCTCTGGCCACCAGGGGTTGTGCGTGGAACAGGGCAAGCATCAGCCATGGCAGGATGGTGAGGCAGGTGAGCAGGGGTGCCAGACCAAAGTGGGGTGCCGGTTGCTGTCATCGGGGCGAGCCTCTGGTGGTTACTGAAAATTCTTTGTTCCCGTGCACCACGGTCCTGCCCAGCACTCACACCTGCTGCTGGTGCCGGCCCCAATCTCTCCACACTGTCAGCGGTGCGAGTGGGGCCAGCGCCGTCAGTGCGTGGGAGTGGTGGCAGCAGGAGCAGGGCTGCCGACAGGGGACCAGGGGCCATGGCGGGAGGGGCCGAGCTGAGGCGCAAAGGATGGGCTGAGACTTGCCCCTGTGCCTATCGCAGCCTCAGCCCACAGTTCCTCTCAAGGTTCATGAATTTGTGCACTGGGCCCCTAGTATATACATAATAGACATTTTTAAAAAGATGAACCCAATAAATAACATGGCAAACCTTTTTCTACACAGTAGTAAATAGATTTTCATCTTATGGACTTCTATATGTTGCTCTTGTTTGTCAGTTTGTTAAAATAGGAAAAACTGCTAGTATCTGTTCTAATGAACTGCATAATTCAATCATCTATAAACCCTTCTTCCCCCAGGCACAAAGTCATTCTTGCTTTGAGAAGATGTAGGTTTTAAAGCTGAACTGAACCTCTGCAAATTGTAGATATGCAACATTTAAAACAATGTTGAAATGCTTGTGTTTAACTCCAGTTGGCATAAAAAACGTTGAGTCTTCAGCAAAGTTAGATGCCATTAATTAGTCTTAAGATTTCCTGTTATAGTTGCTATAAAGCATCTCAACAGATGGATTCCAGAATAGGTCATAGCACTGTGAAAAGAAAAGAAAAACCATTTTCTTCCTTACTTCACAAGTAGTAACAGATCTGAATTCATCTAACTTAAAAAAACTGTTTACAAACTGAGTTTCATGTATGAAAGAGAACATCTTAAATTGGCCTTTCCTCTTCCTGAGTCTCTAAATCTAGTGCTCCATACTATCTGCTCTATTACCTTCATGATTCTAAAAATTTCACCATTATCTACTATTTTGTTTTTTATTTGTCAGACTAAAAGTTGTTTCTGTTTTTCTATATGGAGAACAATTGACATATACCATTATATTAGTTTCAGATGTATAACATAAAGATTTAATATTTGTATATACTACAAAATGATCACAGTAAGTCTAGTTAACATCCGTCACTATACATAATTACAAAATTTATTTTCTTGTGATGAGGACTTTTAAGATCTGCTCTCAGTAACTTTGAAATATGCAATACAGTATTATTTATAGTCACCATGCTGTATATTACATCCAGGATTTATTTTACAACTGGAAGCTTGTACCTTTTGACCCCCTTCATTCATTTCCCCCACCAGCCATCCCCCTCCTCTGGCAACCACTAATCTCTTCACTTTATCTAGGAGCTTGGTTTTTGTTTTTTAAATTCCATATATAAAGGACATCATATGGTGTTTGTCTCGCTATTTCACTTAGCATGCCTTCAAGGTCCATCCATGTTGTCACAAACGGGCAAGATTTCATTCTTTTTTATGGCCAAAAAGTATCCCACTGTGTATTTAACCACTTTATCTTTATTCATCCACTGACTGACACTTAGGTTGCTTCCATATCCTGGCTATTGAAAAAATGTTGCAGTGAACATGGGGGTACATATATCTTTTCAAATATGTTTTCATGTTCACTGGATAAATATCCAGAAGTGGAATTGCTAGAACAAATGGTGGTTCTATTTTTAAGTTTTTGAGGAACCTCCACACTATTTTACATAATGGCAGTAAAAATTTACAATCGCACTAACAGTGCACAAGAGTTCCTTTTTCCACATCCTTGCCAACACTTACTTCAAGTCTATTTGATAACAGTCATTTTAACAGGCAGGAGGTGATATCTCACTGTGGTTTTGATTTTCATTTCCCTGAAGAATAGTGATGTTCAGCATCTTTTCATGTATTTGTTAGCCGTCTGTATGTCTTCTTCGGAAAAATGTCTCTTCAGATCCTCTGCCCATTTTTAAATTGTATTATTATCTTTTTTGCTATTGAGTTGTATGAGTTCTTTGTGCATTTTGGGATATTAATCCCTTATCAGATATATGATTTATAAATATTTTCTCCCAGTTAGGTAGCCTTTTCATTTTGTTGATGATCTCCTTTGCTTTGTAGCTTTTTAGTTTGATGTAGTCCTATAGTTTATTTTTTTAAAAATATATTTTATTGATTTTTTACAGAGAGGAAGGGAGAAGGAGAGGGATAGAGAGTTAGAAACATCGATGAGAGAGAAACATCGATTCAGCTGCTTCCTGCACACTCCCTACTGGGGATGTGCCCGCAACCAAGGTACATGCCCTTAACCGGAATCAAACCTGGGACCCTTCAGTCTGCAGGCCGATGCTCTATCCACTGAGCCAAACTGGTCAGGGCCTGTAGTTTATTTTTGTTTTTGGAATCAGATCCAACAAATTATCACCAAATCCAATGTCAAGGAACTTACTGCCTATGTTTTCTCCTAAGAGTTTATGGTTTCAGGTATTACATTCAAGTCTTTAATCTATTTTGAGTTAATTTTTGTGTATAGTATATAGTAGTTTAATTTCATTCTTTTGCATGTGGTTGTTCAGTTTTTCCAACACCATTTGTTGAAGAGATTGTCATTTCCCCATTGTATATTCCTGGTTCTTTTGTTGTAAATTAATTGACCATTATGCATGGGCTTATTTCTAGACTCCCTATTCTGTTCTGTTGATCTTTGTGTCTGTTTTTATGCCAATACCATACTGTTTTAATTACTACAGCTTTGTAATATAGTATGAAGTCAGGGAGCATGATGCCTCTAGTTTTGTTTTTCTTTCTCAAGATTGCTTTGGCTATTCAGGGTCTTTTGTGATTCTGTACAAATTTTAGAGTTGTTTGTTCTATTTCACTGAAAAATTCCACTGGAATATCTACCATTTTGCTTTTTATTTCCCAGACTAAACTGTTTGGTCTTTTAGTTTATTCTTTTTATGACAAGATGTAATCACCTTGATAATTTAGACCTTTTCTCATGATTTTTAAACAACTATCATAACCATTATTGTATCTGTTATTTACCTGTTTAGTATATCCATCCATATCCATTCATCTATGTGTCAGCATTAAAGTGACTAGTTGGTTCCTCAGGATATATGGACTTTTATGGAATACATTATGACTTTTATGGATATAGGTATGGTGTATACTTGTATATAAAATAGGTAAATTCTTTTCTCTTGCATTGCTAATTCCCTTCTTGATAAAGTACAGCATTTTGGACTTTTTGACCAAACCTGCCTGGTTCAGAATAGTCCATAATGATTCTTGGATTATAATTGGAGTTATACATATATAGTTTAAAGGACAAATACAAGTTAGATAGTCCACACACTAACTATGACACCTTGAAATCGTTTGAAACATTTGTCAACTCATGATTTTCTTTGTCATTACAATCAGTTCTCATTTGCTTGGAATTTAACTACATAGAAAACCACAGAAGTGATCATACTGTGCCTATTTACATAGTTCTTCTACACCATTTATAACAATAGACTGATCCCAGTATCAATCTTTAGGAGCCTTTCACCATTTATACTTCTCCACTCAGCCGGGGCAGAGTTCAGACATGAAGGTTAGCTTTTGACTTTAGGCTTAAAGGCCAAACCTCTCTGGATTACATGTCTACTCACATTTCCACCTTTCTCCTAACTTATTTTATAATAATTATTCTGTGACGAGTCCAATATCCATCTGGAGGGATGAACTGGGATTTGGTCATGCTAGTAAAAGCAAGGATTATATTTAACTCTACTTTCTAAATTGGGTTTAGAAAACTATAGAGTACAGCCTGCCAATTTCCTTTATGTGGTCACCGTGGTATAGTGAACACTGACGTTCTTGAAAGTCAGTGGGCTCCCGTGTCTCAATTCTTGGACTTTAAGTGCTGTGTGGCTTCTATAGTGTCTTGGTCACCTACAGTGAGTAGTTCAGGGGCAGCAGTCATTCCAGGGTTATGCAGCAGTGAATGCTGGCATATCTAAAGAAGAGAACTTCTGCCCTGGCTGGTATGGCTCAGTTGGTTGGAATGTCATCCCGTACACCAAGAGATGGCAGGTTTGATTCCCGGTCAGGGCACATTACGAGGTGTGGGTTCAATCCCAGGTCGGTGCACATGTGGGAGCCAACTGATCCATGTTTCTGTTTCACATCAATGTTTCTCTCTCCTTCCCTTCCTCTCTCTAAAATCAAATTTTTTAAAAAGTTAAAAAAAGAAAAAAAGAAGGGAATTCCCCTAAAAAGTACTAGGGAATCTGATATTCTGGGTTGTTGGCCTGACCCTACCATTTGCTGACTGACCTTTGACAAGGAAGGAAACTAACATATATTACATTTTGTGTACTAGGTCACAATGCATTTTATTTGATACTTTAAACCACATTTTTACTAGTGAGAAAAGACTCAAAATGAAATAAATTGCTTTAAAATCTATAGCACAGAAATAGAGGAACCATGCAAAACTATGGCCTCACTCTAAGGCTTAGGCTCTTTCTATTATAGCCAATACCTCTTTGAACTCACTTCACTTCTCCGACTTGTAACTGTGAAATAGGAATGTTTACTGTGAGGATCAATTAAGTGTTTTGAATGATCTAGTGTTATAACCTCCCCCACAACCATCAGTTTTCAGATAGTGCTAATTGTTCTTAAGTAGAGCCACAATCTTACTTAGTCTGGTGGCATAGAGCTTATAGCAGTGTGGGACTACTGCTTGATCATTCCCTTGTTTTAAACACTATAATTCTGTTAATGTAGCTCAAAAAAACTGTCAGTTTTTCCCTAGCCCCATTATGTTAATTCAAACTCAGCTTCCGATCAACTGAATTCTTTTTTAAAAAAATGCTATTAGGCATAATTTGCTCATCTTATGTTTATGTTGCCTTTTTAGCTGAATAATCACTTCCTTATTATTAAACTAGAGGCCCAATGCACTAAATTTGTGCAAGAGTAGGCCTTCTTCCCCCGCCCCCCGTGACCCCCCTTCCCCCGGCCCTGCCCAGCTGCCTGCACTGGCTTTCCTCTGGCACCCAGGACCCAGGCTTCCCTCTGGCCACCAGCAAGCACCCTGGACCCGGGCTTCCCTTTGGCCGCTGGCAGGCACCCTGGACCCAGGTTTACCTCGCAGCCCCGGCTTCATCTGGAAGGTCATCCGGTCTAATTGGCATATTTTATTATTATAGACTAGAGGCCCGGTGCACAAAAATTTGTGCACTCGGGGGGGAGGGGGGTCCCTCAGCCCGGCCTGTGCCCTCTCGCAGTCTGGGACCCCTCGGGAGATAACGACCTGCTGGCTTAGGCCCGCTCCCGGGTGGCAGAGGGCAGGCCCAATCCCTAGGTGCAGCCCCTGGTCGGGCTCAGAGCAGGGCTGATTGGGGAGTTGGGGCGCCGCCCCCTGTCATGCACAGAGCAGGGCGGATTGGGAGGTTGTGATGCCACCCTCAGTCACGCTCAGGGTAGGGCCAATTGGGGGGTTGGGGCACCGCCCCATCACACTCAAGGCAGGGTCGATGGGGAGGTTGCGGCGCCACACCATCACACACAGAGCAGGGCCCACCACGGGGGTTGGGGCTCCGTACCCTGTCATGCACAGAGCAGGGCCAATCAGGGGGTTGGGGCGCTGCCCCCTGTCACGCACAGAGCAGGGCCCATCAGGGGGGTTGGGGCTCCGTACCCTGTCACGCACAGAGCAGGGTCAATCAGGGGGTTGGGGAGCTCCCCCCTGTCATGCACAGAGCAGGGCCGATCAGGGGGTTGAGGAGCTCCCCCCATCACTCACAGAGTAGGGCCGATAAGGGAGTTGGGGTACTGCCCCCTGTCACACTCAGGGCAGGGCGGATCAGGGGGTTGGGGCGCCGCCCTCTATCACCCACAGAGCAGGGCCGATCAGGGGGTTGGGGCGCCACCACTCTCACACTCAGGGCAGGGCCGATGGGGAGGTTATGGCTCTACCCTGTCACACACAGAGCAGGGCCCGTGGGGGATGCGGGGGGGGGGGGGGCGCTGCTGCACCTTGTCACACACAGAGCAGGGCCGATCGGGGGTTAGGGCACCGCACCCTGTCACACACAGAGCCGCAGTGCGATCAGGGATTTGGGGAACTCCCCCCTATCAGGCACAGAGCAGGGCTAATCAGGGGGTTGGGGCGCCTTCCCCTGTCACAAACAGAGCAGGGCGGATAGGGAGGTTGTGGGCCCGCCCCCTGTCACACACAGAGCCGCAGGGCGATCAGGGGGTTTTGGCGCTGCCCCCTGTTACACTGATCCCAGTGCCAGGAGGCCTCTCGGCTCTGCTGATCCCAGTGCTGGGAGGCATATTACCCTTTTACTATATAGGATAAAGGCCTGGTGCATGGGTGGGGCTGGCTGGTTTGCCCTGATGGGTATCCTGGATCAGGGTGGGGGTCCCCACTGGGGTGCCTGGCCAGCCTGGGTGAGGGGATGATGGCTGTTTGCAGCTGGTCACACACCCTTCAGGGTGGGGGTCCCCACTGGGGTGCCTGGCCAGTCTGGGTGAGGGGCTGAGGGCTGTTTTCAGGCTGACTGAAGCTCCCAACTGCTCCTTTTTTTCTTTTTTATTCTGGGCCAGCTTTAGCTCTGGCTCCAGCTCTGAGGCCTCTGCTGCTGAAAGAAGGTATCTGGTTTGTTTCGGTCCTATAATCGAAACTCTGAATCAAGTCCAGCTCTGAGATCCTGGTGGGCTGAAAGCAGGTTTCTGGGGTTTTGTTTAGCTTCTATATTTGTTACAATGTTTCTTAAACGACCGGCTCAGAGGCCGGCAAGGCAGGCGGGGAATGTTGGAGTCCTCCGTCACTGAAGCAAGCAAGCCTCATGTTAGTTTCAAGCTGCCTGGCTGCCGGCCATCTTGGCTGGCAGTTAATTTGCATATCTCGCTGATTAGCCAATGGGAAGGGTAGTGGTCGTACGCCAATTACCATGTTTCTCTTTTATTAGATAGGATAGTTATAAAAACAGCTATTTTTCTATGATAATGCTCAGGGCTCTAAGAAGAATTAGGATTTCATTCCTGCCCCGAGGAGTTTCATTGTATATATGGAACATAGACAAATGAACTGGATAAATACTCAAAATTAAGTAAAGGGAGAAGAACATTTTGTTGGAATGAATGAAGAAGGATTTTGACAGGCATGCTCATAATTACAAACAATTTAAATGTGATTTGCATTGGTAGGTAGTAGAATGACCGCTTAATGGACAGTTCCACATATAACTGTTACTTGGTTTCATTCTTTTCTTAAAGCAACTCCCAGTGTCTTTCACAAAGAAGTTAAGAGTATGATTTTCTTACTCAGAGGCGAGGAGGCTGTGTCTCTACAACAGGACAGGTCAGTTACCGTGCCCACGGTACACACTGAAAGTACAAACTCATGCTTCATCGCTAAACCACATCTACTATCTCAAAAACTGCCAGCTCAGGAAATAACCACTCCTTCTGCTACCAATACTTAATTCTAACTTATATGAAGCATTTCTTCTTTACATATGGTCCTTTTAAAGGAATATTTTTATGCCTCATAGCCTAAGTGAGTTTTCTACCATAAAGATAAGTTGTTTTTCTTTGGAACTAAGAAAGGGATGGTAGTATCTTTATTATAATGGTTGTTTAGCTGATTCTAAAAAGGAAAAAGTTTTGCTCAAGCTAGTTTGGCTCAGTGGATACAGCATCGGCCCGTGGACTGAAGGGTCCCAGGTTCAATTCCAGTCAAGAACACATGCCTGTGTTGCAGGCTCAGTCCCCTGTAGGGGGTGTGCAGGAGGCAGCCAATCAATGATTCCCTTCCATCACTGATGTTTCTATTTCTCCCTTCCTCTCTGAAATCAATAAAAATATATTAAAAATAATAATTAAAAAAAAAAGAAGTAAAAAGTTTTTACTTCTGCTGTGGTACAGGGTTGAGCTAGGCTGAGGAAGAAAGAGAATGAAAATGCCTTACCAGGAAGATACAGCAAAATTTGCAGAAGGAAGAAATAAAGGGAAGGAAAAAATAAAAGCACTGATGGGCTGTACAATAAATCTTAGCTAAGTGCATAGTCTTCCAAACTTTCCTAATTTTAGTCAAAAGGCTGAGAAATGACAAGAAACATTGATTTAATACTAAAAGTTGATAGTATATAAAGCTATAAAAACAATGCAACTCTTACCTTACAGGAAACAACTGAGGAAAACATCCTTGTGTTTTAGTGTCAACAAATTTCTGGATCTCGAGCACCTGTTTTAAAAGAAGTCCCTTGGAAGGTTTGTCAATTTTTGTTAACACCATCTGCAAAAATACAAATGACTAAATGAGTTAATGTATGCAATTTATAAAGCATACACTACGTGCTTGCTGTTTAATTAATGGTGCTTTAACTACACAGGACTATACTATCTTTAATTCAAAATCAGTGAAAAGGACCCTGAAGCCATATTTGCAACTACCATAAACCAAATGTTTCATATCATCACTCTGTATCTGTGATCAAAGATATATGTTAGTATTATTGGGTTGGGTTGATTTATATAAAAATCGGCAATTTATAATCATTTTTGACATACAAAATGGTTCCATCTCACATGTAACCTAAAGAAAAAATTAGAAATCCAGCTATTTGTAGGTTGTATCCACTACTCCAAGTTTTATATAATTACATTCCAAGTAAGCCTAGAACTTACTAGGCTTACTAGTAAATAATAACACTGAATAATTTACTTATTCAAAGACAATTACATACTAGAGGTAAGGCCAAGGCATGGCTGATTATAAAATCAATTAAAAAGTAAAACTTTGATCTATCAGATTTCCTTGGGGAGTTTCTATAAAATTAAATTTCCTGACTCATCATTCATACTTTTCAATTATAAAAATGTAAATTGGCAGAGGGAATGAGAAGCAAAAAGTGTGTGGTTTCTAATGACCTGTGAAACTCGCCAAATGGGAGTCTTTCCTTATAAAGGCAAATGCTGATATTTAAAAGGAAACATAATTCCTCTAATACAAACTCTTTTTCAAAAAGGAAAGTTATATTTCTTTAAAGTTAAAACTGAAGAAAATATATGATTTCATAAACTGATACCTATGATACCAAATCAGGAATATTATCACTTAAAAAAAACCAAGTCTGGCATTACTTAGGCATTTTTACTTTGTAGATTAAGTTCATCAACCCTTCGGCTCCTCAAAACTGTAGGTTATCACTAATGTTTCAAAGGCTTTGCAAACCTGAAGAATTCCATAATTATAACAATACAAAAAAGTTTCTGACTACTAATGGTTTGACTTGCATTACACTCCAGTATTACATTTTAGTAGGTGTCTCACTTTTTTTTTTATTTTTATTTTTTTGTAATATATTTTATTGATTTTTTACAGAGAGGAAGGGAGAGAGATAGAGAGTTAGAAACATCGATGAGAGAGAAACATCGATCAGCTGCCTCCTGCACATCTCCTACTGGGGATATGCCCGCAACCCAGGTACATGCCCTTGACCGGAATCGAACCTGGGACCTTTCAGTCCGCAGGCCGACGCTCTATCCACTGAGCCAAACCGGTTTTGGCTGTCTCACTTTTTTTTAAGACCAAATTTTAGCCAATGGGTTCTTCACTTTTCCTTAGGAACTTTAAGAGTGCTACTTTATTTGTAAAACTCACAAAGCAAAATGAATATGTATACCAACCTACTAATCAGTATTCCAGTATAAAGCAAATAATAGAACACTGGTAAGATTTTCCCAGAAGAAATCCTGTGTTCTTTAAGAATACAGTATAAAAATCCTACTGTGTGTGCTGGAGCCTGTTATGTTCTTGTAATGGTTCTTAAATTCCAAATTAGTTTAACAAATTTTCAGTTGCAGTTTTATTTACATACTGTTAAGTACTATCTGCCAAACTGCTGTTAAAAGAGCTGCTAACATTTTGGACAAATATTCACATTGCCATTAAAATACAAAACAAAAACAACATCATAAAGAAAAGCACCTAGGAGCACTAAATAAAAGCTTTAAAAAACTACTTTGACTATACTTTTGAAAACTTAAAAAGCTGAGAAAAGGAAAAGAGAATAAAAGTAGTACAGTATTTATTTTATTAATGGCTAACAATGGTAAAGATTATACAAAAGGTACTCCTTTATCTCTTGAAGAGGTAAAACTTACTTATTCATTAAAAAGACACACACACACACACACACACACAACCAGTATGTATTTCTAATTGTAACCAGGATTCAAAAGAAATACTTACTACATAAGGTAATGCAAACTCTTCACACATTTCTATAGCAATATTGTCTGCTTTCTGAATTCCGACAACACTATCCACTAACAAAAATGTTCTCAGCAAACTGTAAGAATGCAGAAATAAAGATTAATGGCAATATAAAATTCATTCCTTCCTCCCTCCCCGCCCCTCAAGCTATAATAATAAATTTTCCTTTGATTGATTTTCAATCCAAATTTAAAAACATTTTTAGGCAAAAGGAATTCTCAGTTCACCAGGTCCATCCTACAGTACAATAGTTAACTAAATATTAATTTATTTCAGTAGGATGTATTGCACATGACTCTATACTTGGAATTGGATACAAAGGTGAGTAAGCCCCTTCCTCTAAAAGCCTGAACTCTAGTGAAAGAAAGAGACAAGTATAAATACCTTGTATAAATATCTCATATTAATTTCTATGTAAAACCACAAGAAAGATACTTAACACTTCTTTATACTTCAAAAGTTTAACATAAATTTTCCTATATATGTGCAAAGCTTGAAATACTTGCCCACCTAGGAAGACCATAAAAGGTAACATTTGCAAAGGATGTGATGTCAGGAGTACTTTAAGAACAATTAGAATTTACAAAATCTGTTTATATTTAGTAAATACCACATTAACCAACAATTTTCATTTTCAAAATTAGCCGTCTAAGAGTTTGGTATAAAAACATTAGTAAACTCTGCTGAAGTACCCTTTGTAGTCTCAATTTAGAAAAACACTTGAACTTCAGATTAAGCTAACCTACAGGAAATAAACAAAGCATGCAGTAAATACCTTGATTGTAAATGCTGTGTTGCAGAATATTATGAGAATAAAATGGACTTTCTAAAAGTCATTTGATAAAACTGAAGTGGTCATCACGTGTAGAATGCTCTATTACCAAAAATATGCTTTTGGTTTAAATGTATAGCTATTATAAAGCATTTTTCCCCTTACTTCTTTCGTTCTTTTAGATAGGTCTCTACCATATCAACAAAATCTTCAGGTGCTCGATAGCCATAACCTGGCATGTCCACCAATGTAAAATATTTTCCAACTTTGAAAAAATCCATTTTCTTTGTGTGCCCCTGATAAAATAAATAGAAAAAAGTGAAAACTTTCTTCAACTATGTTCAGTATATATTTTATACCTCAAAATATTTTCTATTCAATCATATTTATTAACATGTATAAATATTCTGTAAATAATCCCAGCTATGCTGATAAACAGGAAAAGAAGGTAAAGCTCTGGCTGGTGTGGCTAGAGCACCAGCCTACCCACTGGAGGGTCACAGGTTCAATTCCAAGGTCAAGGGTGCATACATTTGTTGTAGGTCTGATCCCTGTGCAACCAATTGATGTTTCTCTCTCTCTCTTACTCCCCTTTCCCTTCCACACTCTCTAGGATTGATGGAAAAAATATCCTCACTTCTTGGGTAAGGATTAAAAAAAATAAAACTAAAAAGATAGAAGTGGCTGGAGATATGCTTAGATACTACTTCCCTCCAATTCATAATTTTAAGATAATAATTATGACTTAAGAAGAACTTTAGATTCCATATTAGAAATATGTAGGCAAAATATTTTGGAGTCTTTCCTATTTCATTAGTTCTCAGTAAAAAAGTTAACCTGGTGTGAGTGTACTAGTCAATATTCTCTGATGAGTAATATATCTCAAATAAATGAATTTGGCACAGGTTAAATTAAATACTGTTAGTCATACAACCATAAAACCTAGATGTAAACCTGATAGTTTATTATGCCTAGACTAGAGGCCCAGTACAGGAAATTCGTGCACTCAGAGGGGGGGTCCCTCAGCCCAGCCTACACCCTCTCGCAGTCTGGGAGCCCTCGGAGGATGTTCAACTGACGGCTTAGGCCCGCTCCATCAGTCGGACATCCTTAGCACTGCCGCGGAGGTGGGAGGGGCTCCTGCCACTGCAGCTGAGCTCGCCAGCTGTGAGCCAAGCTTCTGGCTGAGTGGCGCTCACCCTGTGGGAGCGCAATGACCACCAGGGTGCAGCTCCTGCAATTTAGTGTCTGCCCCCTGGTGGTCAGTGCACGTCATAGCGACCTGTCATTCTGCTGTTTGGTCAATTTGCATGTTAGCCTTTTAATATATAGGATGGTCTTTGATTACCTCCCACCCACCCACCCACCATCAGGGCCAGGGAGGGACTGCGGGAGGGTTCCAGGGCATGTCCGGCCCGTCTCGCTCGGTCCCGATCGGCCGGACCCCAGCAGCAAGCTAACCTACTGGTCGGAGCATCTGCCCCCTGGTGGTCAGTGCACGTCATAGTGAGTGGTTGAGCGGCCTTAGCATATCATTAGCATATTACACTCTGATTGGTTGAATGGCTGACCAGCCGGCTGGATACTTAGCATATTAGGCTTTTATTATATAGGATTACCGCTTCCTTAAAATCAACATGTTTTGCATGTTTCATTGGATGGGTTTAAGTGCTTTCACTAAACCATTTTTTAAAAAGCATGTACAACACTATTAAACATCTGTGAAACTAATATTTATGTCAGGATAAGTGGATTATTCAAGATTTTATCTCTATGGGCATTTATTAATCAGAAAAGGAAAGATTAAGATAAATAAGCAGTCAACTGTTTGGAACTTAGAACAAATATTTTCAGAAGAAAGGTGTTATAAATGGTGCTTAGGTTCCCAGTCACTATGTATCAGTAAGAAAATGATTTTAGAATTATAGATGAGGAATGTCAAAAATACATTTCTTGCATTGTCCTCTCATAGCAGGAACCAAACACCCTGCCTATAAGAGAGAGTTTAGCTGTGTTATCTGGTGAGGCAGGGCAGGAGAATTAACGAATGACAACAATCATCAGTGACAGAGCCAGGGAATCAGCTTTATGAAGAAATTAGAAGCAAGAGAGGACTAGTGAAGTCTCTTGGAAGAGTTCCAATGCAAAGAAAGAGGGCAGTGAGCACTGGGTTGGTGGGAATGTTTTGCCATGGATAGATAGTAAGGTGAGAGGAACTGGGGGAAGTACTGAAGTGCTTAGATATTGGTAGTCTGCATCATGGAGAAGGAAATAGAGGAAATTAGAAAATGACAGAAAGCATGTAGGACATGCAGACTGGCTGGGATAATAAGCACATAATTTGGCCCGGAGTAGACTGGGATTTGCCTGATTGGTGTATATGTGTGAGTTAGCAAAGTATAAAAGATTACAGGGAGAAAAAAACATAAAAAAAACATACAACTGTTTCCTCTGAAATCAATGTAGAACTAAGATGATCATTCTTGAAAGCAAATCTCTCTATATATACTAGTAAAAGCCTAAACAACCGTTTGACCGGTCGCTATGTGCACTGACCAGCAGGAGCGCTGCTCAGCTGACCAACAGGTGACAGACACCAGGCGCATGGCTGGCAAGCACAGCTGTGGTGGCACAAGCCTCTCCCATGGACACTCCCCCTGCACGCCCCTCCCCCATCTGGACCGGGACTATGGTCGGGACCAGCATTGGGACTGACTGGGCGCTAGCCCGTGGACGCTTTTCAGTCATGGGCACACCAGTATCGCCCTAGAATGGGCATGCAGAGACTGCAGTAGAGTGGCAGTGAGCCCACTGAGTGGTGGCGGCAGGTGCAGCGGGCGTGGGATGAGCGGGAGCCGTGCGGCACCTGGCCCAGGCTTGGGCTCTTCCCCAGCTGCCTGCCCCTTCACACACTACTACATCCCTCGGGGGATGTTGGACTGCTGGCTTTGGCCCGATTCCTGCAGGCCACGCCAAGGACCTCACCAGTGCACGAATCCGTGCACTGGGCCTCTAGTATAGAATAACAAAAGAACAACTCTTTGGAAAAGATTTTGACCAAGGAAGATTTCCTCAAGATACTGGCAAGACTACTAAAATAAATCCAGACACATTTCCTTTCCTTTAAAGAAATACAAAGGCATTGATGTAATCTCTTACTTTACTACTTGTTTGAAAGAAATCACTTTTCTAGAAACTTGGCTATTATCATTTCTTGTATTCCCCCAACACTTTATTCATCTTCGTCAATTGAGAGGTAGTTCCAACAGATTTGAAATTTCAACATACCGGGGTTTTGGAGACTCTGACTTCAACCTCTGGAGCCAATGAAAACAAAGCCTTTATTAGAGAGGATTTTCCAACATTGCTTCTGCCTATAAAACACACCTTATACACAAAAAAGAGAAGGGAAGCTGGGTGAAAAGGGTGAAGGAATTAAGCAAAAGAAAAAACCCAAAACAACAAACTCATAGACACAGACAATAGTATGGTGATTACCAGAGGGAAAGGGAAATGGGGGGAGTTGGAAGAGGGTAAAGGAGGGATAAACGGTGATGGAAGGAGACTGGACTTTGGGTAGTGAACAGATAATACAATATACAGATGATATTTATATATCTCTATATATAAAAGCCTAAGCGACCATTACAACCAAATGACGGGTCGACCAGTTGCTATGATGCGCACTCAGACGCTCAACGCAGGAGCTACCCCCTGGTGGTCAGTGCGCTCCCACAGCCAACCCCCCGTGGCTGGCCAACCTTCCCTGGTCCCTCCCTGTGGCTGGCTAACCTCTCGTGGTCCCTCCCCCTGGCAGGCAGGTCCTGATTGGGACTTCGGGACTGGGTGAGATGGCCCCAATTGGCCCTGATCACCAGCCAGGCCTAGGGACCCTGCCTGTGCACAAGTTCATGCACTGGGCCTCTGATATTATAGAATTGTACACCTGAAACCTATATAATTTTATTAACCAACTGGAGGCCTGGTGCATGAAAATTCATGCACTCAGGGGGAGTCCCTCAGCCTGACCTGCGCCTTCTCGCAGAGCAGGAGCACTCGGGGGATGTCCGATTGATTGGCTCTGTGGGAGGCGACCTGCGGGCCCATCAGGGGACAGCGCTGGCTGGCGAGCAGATGACCCCGTCCCCCATCGCCCTGCCGCCACAAGTGGCCTTCCTCTGTGGGAGGCGACTGGCGGGGCAATCGGGGGACGGCACCAGCTGGTCAGTGGCCAGCCCGCCCCCTGATCACCCCTGCCACCACCTGTCACTGCTGCCCCCCCCATTGCCGTCCCCTCCCTCTGCCCACTGGCACCTCCTTGGCTGGCCTGGCACTGCCCACTCGCTGGTTCCACCCCCCGCCAACCAGTCATTCTGCTGTTCGGTCGATTTGCATATTAAGCTTTTATAATATAGGATGTCATCCCAATAAATTAAAAAAAAACTTTAAAGAAGAAAATTTTTTAAAGAAGAAAGAGAAAACTCAATTTTTTAATTGAGTACTAGCTTAATATATAAATTTATTATGATGTATTAGCTGCAAAAACCTGTCAAGCTATTCACTCCTGCCCCGCCATAATACAGATGATAAAATGAGGTAGAAAGAGGTTAAATAACTGGCCCAAAATTATACAGTTAGAAAGTAAGAGTTGAAATTTGAACTCAGACATCTATATCCAGAAGCTGTGCTTTTAATTACACTATGCTACTCAAGAATATTTGCAACATTTATTAAGCATCCTACATTTACAAAGTTTTTTGAAAATAGAACCACATTTCCCCACAAACTTTCAGAGTACAATGTAATTAAGAGGTTATTCCTTTCTCTTGAAATCTCTTCTTCCAATTAAGCTTTTCTCCTTTAGTGCTCTATACTATAGTCAGCTCAGGGCACACATAAAGTAATTACTAAAATTCTGTAACACACCAAAAAATACATATTACTTTTTGCTAATTGGACCAAAAAAAAAAGTATAATTTTGATTCATTCACTCCAGATAGCTATTGTGTTGGCTGTTGTCATTTTTTAATTTGAGAATCTAAGGGAAAAGAGGTCAGTGCCCCTGACTAGTCAGGTATTATATGTTTTAAAAATTCTTGTAGCTCACTGGTTGAAAATCACTGCTCTATAGTGTAGAAAGGAACAAAATATTCCTGATAGTAACCATTAATATACATGGCTCTGCTTTCTAACATGGTATTAAAGAGGGTACAATACCAATCAGTGGTTCTAAATGAGGGCGTGTTTTGGAAATTTGTGAGAAAGTTTTTGATTATCAATATGATCAGATGGCATTTAGTAGACAGGGGTCAGGGATGCTATATATTGTGCAAAACTGTGGTCAGTCCTTCAAAATGAATTGATCTGAATCCTGCTTAAATTTCAAATGCTCTGCCAGATCAAATCCAAAGATAATCTACAGATAATAAAATTGAATTTTAATAAAACTGAATTTTAAAAAACAAATACTCAAAAAGTCCAATAATTTAAAAGCAATGCTATCTCAAAATTATTAAATGATATATATGCTCTTAAATTATAGTAGTTCTAAATATATTCGAAGAACATTTTCAATGCAGTGGTACAGTTACTACAAATACAGCGGATCCCTGAATAACATCCTTTCCTTCATGGTCGTTTTGTTATAAAGTTGATAAGAGAGAGAAAAAATCAATTCATGGGCAGGGTCACTGACTGTGTGGAGTTTGCATGCTCTCCCCATGTTTGTGTGGGATTCCTCCGGGTACTCCCACGTCCGTAAGATGTGCACATTAGGCGATCCTGCGAGTGAGTCTACAGTGTACCACTCTGAGTGAGTGTGGGTGTGTGTGAGCGAGCCCGGCATGGCTTCCTGTCCAGGGCTGGTTCCTGCCTGGCATCCTGAGCTGCCAGCAGAAGCTCTGGCAGTTACCCTGAACTGGAATAAATAGGTTGGAAAACAATTACCTTACTTGTTTTTAGTACTCATTCTTAAATGTATGTATAGTTCACTTTTATTTCAATGTTTAATATTATAAATGTTTTGGGTCTTTATTTAGATGTTAGGTAATGTCTTGGGGACCAGAAATATGCCATAGGAACTTAGCACTCGTTTGTATCAATTAGCCTTTGGTAAAACTGATTTCGTTATAGTTATGTTGCTTAAAGTCTGTTTCCAAGACACTGTCACAATCACGGAATGTCACTAAAGTTGTTTTAAAAAATCTGCATTATTGCTGCCAGCTGGCGTGGCTCAGTGGTTGAACATTGACCTATGAACCAGAAGGTCACCGTTCGAGTCCCAGTCGGGCCTGTGTGTCCCCAGTTACAGGTTCGATCCCCAGTGTGGAGAGTGCAGGAGGCAGCTTTAGTGACATTCAGTGATTTTTCTCTCATCATTGATGTTTCTATCTCTCTCTCCCTTCCTCTCTGAAATCAATAAAAAAATAGTATTTTTTTAAGTCGACATTATTACAATCTATGTATCATTTTTCTACACATGACAGGAAATTTAGATTGGGTGAAAATTAGATATTGACAATGATCACAACATTTCATATTCTTTTCATTTTCTTCACTTTGTTTTCCTAACTTCACTGTGTGGCCCTAGCTGGTTTGGCTCAGTGGATAGAGTGTTGGTCTTGGGACTGAAGGGTCCTGGGTTCGATTCTGGTGAAGGGCGCATGACCAGGTTGTGGGCTTGATCCCCAGAAGGGGGCGTGCAGGAGGTGGCCAATCAATGATTCTCTGTCATCATTGATGTTTCTATCTCTCTCTCCCTCTCCTTTCCTCTCTGAAATCAAAATTTAAAAAAAATTATTAAAAAAACTAGTGGCCTGGTACACGGATTCATGCACATTGAAAGGAAATTAATTAGAAGAAATATTTTAATATCGCTATTCGCCATTTCTCTGTAATAGGTGTCAACCAAATTCACGATTGACAATAACAGATAGAAGCATATGCATGCAATTGGCGCCAGTGAGAGCTTTATATGTATCACACATATGCGAGTCAACATTTATTTTTATATTTATTTATTTATTTAAACGTTTATTTTTTTATTTTTCTAGATATATTTTATTGATTTTTTTTGCAGAGAGGAAGGGAGAGGGATAGAGAGTTAGAAACATCAATGAGAGAGAAACATCGATCAGCTGCCTCCTGCACATATCATACTGGGGATGTGCCCGCAACCATGGTACATGCCCTTGACTGGAATCGAACCTGGGACCCTTCAGTCTGCAGGCTGACACTCTATCCACTGAGCCAAACCAGTTAGGGCAAGTTTAACGTTTATTTTTAAATTGCCAGTGTGTGTCATATGTACCGACTGGCCGGTAGGATGGATGTATGGTTGGTCATTAGCCTTTTATATATACAGAATATGTACAGATAATAGTAAATAACTTCAATTTGCGGATGAAAAAGGGCCACATACTAAGCTGATTAGCTCAGAGAAGGCCTGCCTGGCCGTCTTGCAAACTCAGGGACCTAAGTCACAGAGGATGGTCTGAAATTAAACTTTAAGTTGACAGCAGTTTTTGGTGGATAGTCATGTCCTAACCCGGTGTCATCCCTGACAAAGATCAACTCTGACCTTAACTGAGCCTATGTCTTTCTGCACCTAAGACAGTGGTTCTCAACCTGTGGGTCCCGACCCCTTTGGCAGTCGAACGACCCTTTCACAGGGGTCGCCTAAGACCATCCTGCATATCAGATATTTACATTACGATTCATAACAGTAGCAACATGACAGTTATGAACTAGCAACGAGAATAATTTTATGGTTGGGTCACAACATGAGGAACTGTATTTAAAGGGCCAGAAGGTTGGGAACCACTGACTAAGAAACCATACCTCTGGAACGTCAGGGTAACTTGTAACTTGCCTTTTTTCCTGCCTCCTCAGGGCACAGCCAGTGTGCCTTGGCTGTTATTATGTGTTAACTGTTGGCTGTCAGCTATCCTGTGCCCACCCGAGTAAAAGCAGCACGTGTCTCTCACTTCACTTTCCTCCAGTCCCAGGGGTCTCTGCTCTGCCTTCTCCCACCGCCCCCATCTACCACCGGTGGACTCAGGTAGCCCACTGAGGGCTCCTCCTTAGGCTGCAATGTATAAAACAAGGTGAAAAACTGCCTTTCTCAGGAGCGTTACCTCAACACATTGCTATTCTGCTTCTTCCCGGCAACTGTTCACAGTTTGGCTGAAACTCTCAGAAACTCTTCACAGGCTTGAATGTTTCGTACGTTAACAAATTAAATAGGAAAACATTACAAGGATAATTTTTTGAACACTTAAATTTTGTCTTTGAAACCTGTTAAAGTCTCCTATATTCATTACCGAAGTAATTAAAACTAGGCTTGCTTATTTAGTTAAAACAGTTGAATGCGTCCACAAAGTTAGAAAGCCTCTCCCGCTCGGTGACCACAAAACCCCTTCCCCAGCCTCCAGCCCGGGCGGGCAGCGCGCTCACCTCCGGGCGGGGGAGGTCGGGGGCGTGGTCCAGGCGCACCGCCGAGCTGACGTACTCGATGCGGTGCCGCGGAGTGGCCTTGAAGAAGCTCTCCGCCCTCGCGATGGCCTCCAGGCTCGGGTCAAAGATCCTCAGTTGCAGAAGGTCGGGCTTGGCGTCAGGGAGGAGATGCCGCTGAAGTTCCTGTAATGGGAACACGAGCTTCGTCAGTTCCATTTTGGGCAGCTGCAGAACCTCCGTGAAGGCGTGAGACTTGCTGTAAGCTCGGCTCAAGCGCCCCAGCGCGGCGGGCATCTCAATGAGCCTTCCCATGCCGGGCAGTAGCCCGGGCGCCGCCATGTTTCTCTCCCAGAAGCCCCCGCAGCAGGACCTCCTGCCTAGCGTGTGAGCTGCGCGTGCGTGACCCCGTCCCTCTACGCCTGCTGGGAATTGTAGTCTCCTGTGGCCTCTCCTTCTGGTCCTGAGGTCTGCCTGGAGTGAGCTGGAGGCAGGCCGTGTGTGGGAGGGGAGCAATACCCCAGGCGCAGTTCACACCTTGATGACGTGCCTTTGACTTGTTTGCCGCTGTGGGAAGACTGTTGACTGATTTCCAGTAGTCAAAAGACACATCTGGCTGTGTGCCCTTAAGACTCAAGGGAAGAAGAGAACGTGTGAAGTTGTGGTAGATTTCAGGCCCGTTTACTCTTCACAGTTTCGGATTGTCTCACAGATCTTTGACGACGTACACATCGCTGGGAAAAACAGTTTTGCACACAAAAGGGCTGATGACAAAGTGGTTGAAACGCCATCTGGTTTACAGGGAAGAGACAGTTTATATTTGCGCCCTCTCTTTAGCTGCAGGAAGTGCTACTACATTTTCGAGATGCCTTACAGAATAAAAGCAAAAACAGTTTTGCACAGGTGTCACAGAGTAGTTTCATGGAAGTTACATAGGGACAACTTATTTAAAAAGTTTATTCTCAAAGCAATTCAAACTCATCAGCGCGGGAATGGGAGATACATGCATCACGATGAAATGAATACCTAAAAAGTATTCCTGCTTAAAAAAACTATATAAGTCTTCAGAAACATCAGCACCAAACAGCAGAGCAATCTTAATGCAAGCCTCTGGAGCGATTCTCTAGGGCAGTGGTCAGCAAACTCATTAGTCAACAGAGCCAAATATCAACAGTACAACGATTGAAATTTCTTTTGAGAGTCAAGTTTTTTAAACTTAAACTATATATTAGGTACATTGTTATTAACTTAATTGGGGTACTCCTATGGCTTAGGAAGAGCCACACTCAAGGGGCCAAAGAGCAGCATGTGGCTCGCGAGCCGCAGTTTGCCGACCACGGCTCTAGGTTGTTAGGGGACTAATCAGGGCAATTCTTGAGTGAATGTCATACAAAAATTAGTGAACAAGACCAATGACTTCTACAGTAGTCTGACCTGCTGCTGGCCGCCTTATTTTTAATCTTTGCATTAGGCTTTTAGGCTTCCTTCCTTCCCCTTGCATCCCCATGATAAAACACTATATTGTAAACACCCAGATATTTTGGATACATTTATTATTGTGTGTGTATGTGTATTTAACTCAAAATACTGTTCCAAATCCTCCTGCCTTTCAACAGTATATTTAGAAGTCTTTCTATATCAGCATATCCTGACCTACATGATTGTTTTTAATGGAGGCATATCATTTTATTTATTTCCCCATAGTCCGATTGATCACTGATTAGATTTTGTTATTAAACACAGTGCTTCAGTGAACACTCATAAATAAATTACCTTTGCACAATTGTGAGTGTGGAATAAATTTCTTGAAGAGGATTTGAGGGTATTGGATATGTGCACTTATACTTTAATAATTCTATTGAAAAATATCCTCTGAAGGAATTGTTCCAAATTACTCCCTAATAATAAATGACCGGTGTGGCTCAGTTGGTTGGACATCTTCCCATACACCAAAAAGTTGCCGGTTCAATTCCTGGCATATAGCTGGGTTTCGGTCTCAATCCAAAGTTTGAGGAGTCAAATAATACATTGGAAATAAATATAACAAGGAAAACCACGTAATTTATTTAATCATCCCCTTTTCCTCCTTCACTCTATTTTTTCAAGTATCCATGTAAATAGGCATTGGGAGTCAGGATGTTGCCTTCTGGGTTTTAGGGCTGAGACTCAGAATAGGATTTAAGTCCTAGTGGGGGAAGGGAGTGTGGATTGGACATCCAAGCAGCTATTCAGTCATGCAGACTGTGTAAACATAATGAGGATGTGAGATGGGGTTTGACTTAAGAAGGGCATTTGAGCACTCCTCCCAAAGCACTGCAGAAAACCCACCCTTGGTCTAGTGCAGTGGTCGGCAAACTGTGGCTCGCGAGCCACATGCGGCTCTTTGGCCCTTTGAGTGTGGCTCTTCCACAAAATACCACATGCGGGCGCGCATGTACAGTGCGATTGAAACTTTGTGGCCCATGCGCAGAAGTCAATATTTTGTGGAAGAGCCACACTCAAGGGGCCAAAGAGTCGCATGTGGCTCGCGAGCCGCAGTTTGCCAACCACTGGTCTAGTGCCTCAGCAGGGAGGTCAGGATGTACTTTGATAAACTGGTAACCAGGGGAGGTCAATACATTCAATATATAACTTGAGAAGTTACTTTACACACATTCTTCAGAATCAGAATCAACTTTTAATGCTGAAATCTGACCTAAATGCCATAGTTACACTCTGTCATGTTCATCTAATGAGAATGGGAGGAACAAAGGTAGAACAGTGGTGGGGTCTTACCATTAGGACATGATCATTTCAGTTCCTTGAGTAATGTCTGCCTCCATAATGAATGGTCACTGGGTCAAGAGTGATCTCAATATACATCCAGGTCCTATAAGTATCAAGTTTATGGAATCCATGTACGACATGAAAGCAAATGTAGACCTGGATAGGTAAGCAGAATCAGGGACATCAGAGAGTCAGCAAGCATAGCATGCACAGATTAACTCTCATCCTATTCTAGAAATGCTCTGACAGAAACAAGATTCTGGGAAAAGTTACTTCTAGATGCAGAGAAGTAATGGATTAGATCTCAGTAATTTACAGAAGACCCTCTCCTATCATAAATTTCTGCTTCTTTTAACAACATTTATTAACATTTATTGAGTACGGGCTATGCCAGAATTAATCTGGGTGCCAGGAATAAAATACAAGAAAATCATGGTCACAATCTAATTGGACCTCAAACTCTTGTATTGGGAAGAAAATATTGGGAGAAAGAAAGGAGGGAGAGGCATTTTATGAATGAGAGTAACATGGGAAAACTTTCCACATATAACTTAAATTGCTTTAATCTTAATAACTACTGTCAGGATGAATGCTTTAAATTTAAAATACATTTAATTCTATTTTTTTTCTTTTAAAAGATTTATGTTAGATATCACCTAACATGTTGACACAAATTTATGGAACACACATGCAACATGATATATTACTTGCCCATGTAATTTCTAGTTAGGCTATAAATTGTTATTCTGAAAATTTATTTTACCATCGTTCAAGAAACAACAGAGATATATGTTCTTTTTTAATTTTTATTTATTGACTTTTAAATTTATTTTTAATCCTCACCTGAGGATAGGTTTTTATTGATTTAGAGAGAGAGAGAAGAGAGAGAGAGAGAGAGAGAGAGAGAGAGAGAGAGAAATGTCTATTGGTTGCCTCCCATATGCCGCCCCTCCACTATCAGGGATCAAATCCACAACCTGGATATGTGCCCTCACCAGGATTCGAACCCTCAACCCTTAGGTGCATAGGACAATGCTCAACCAACTGATCTACACTTGCCAAGGCTATTTATTGATTTTTGAGAGAGAGAGAACCATCTATTTGTTGTTCCACTTATTCATTCATTTGGTTGATTGTTGTATGTGCCCTGCTAGGGGATCAAACCCACAATGTTGGTGTATTGGGACAATGCTCTAACCAACTGAACTATCCAGCCAGGGCCAGAGATATGTTTTCTGTGATCCTCTTCTTTGAGAGCTTATTAAGTAATTTAGTTTTACTGTATATTATATTAATGAACCTTTAGAAAATATTTCTAGCCCTGGCAAGATGGCTCACTTGGTTGGAGTGTCGTCTCATACACCAAAAGATTGCAAGTTTGATTCCCCGTCAGAGCACATAACTAGGTTTTGAGTTAAATTCCTGGTTGTGGTGCGTAGGGGAGGCAACCAACTGATGTTTCTCTCTCTTCCTTCCTTTCTCTCTAAAATAAATAAAAAAATATCCCCAGGTGAGGATTAAAAAAAGAAAAAGAAAAATCGTTAACTTCAGAGAGGGTTTTTTAAGCTTTCTTTTAAGGTTGAGCCTGATGTACTAACAAATTTCTCTAAAGAGATCTGGAGATTAAATATCAGACAGTGCTCATGTGTAGGAGGTGAGTTCTTAGAATGATTTGGGTTTGGAGGAGGAGGAGTGTAGTGCTTCACTTCCCTGAAGGTTATTTTTCTCACTAGAGAGAAAAACAATTGTTTTATGTAGCCATGTTTTATCATTTGTAATTGTGTATTTGATCTTTCTGCCATATTAATCTATTAAAATATGTTAGAACACTTTTCAACTTGTATTTTTAGTCAGTTTTTTTTTTTGTAGGAAAAAGGTATGGACTTTGCTGTTCTCACTGATAACATTTTTTAACATTTTAATTATTATTACCCTTAGGCAAGGTTATTATTTTTTTTGTTAATCCTCACCTGAGGATATTTTTCCATTGATTTTTTAGAAAGAGTCGAAGGGAGGGGGAGAGATGGAGATAGGGAAACATTGATGTGAGAGGGGACAAATCTGTTGGTTGCCTCCCACATGCGCCTGCAACTGAGGTACATGCCCTTGACCAGAATCGAACCCACTGCCCTTCAGTCTGCAGGCCAATGCTCTATCCACTGGGTTAAACTGGCGAGGGTTAGGCCAAGTTATTTTAATGGACAAGTTTACTTTGTAGTATGCCTGTAATGCATATCTTTACTAGAGGTCCAGTGTACGATTTTGTGCATGGTTGGGGTCTCTCGGCTTGGTGGGTGATTGGGGCTGATTGGAGCCATGGGAAGTGGGCAGGCTGTGGAAGGTTGGTTGTGGGAGTGCACTGACCAACCAGGGGCAGCTCCTGCATTGAGTGTTTGCCCCCTGGTGGTCAGTATGGGGCATAGTGACTGGTCGACCAGTTGTTTGGTCGTTTGGTTGCTTAGGCTTTTATATATACTGAGTGGACAGATTATTATGACCACCCCATCAGTACTTCATTAACACTTCCAAAAATACTGAATATTGAAAACTTCCTAAGCAAATACTCTCAAGGTTTTTATTATTATTATTATTATTTGCATAACTAATTCAC